TCGATTGAGTATTTAGGCGTATTGGGTACCTTGAACCTAATGATATATCCGTTAAAGCTTCATAATAAGTCCGTCTTTATGATGCACTCGTGTAAATGAAAAAAGCTGGGAAGCACTGGACAGCTGGTTGGAGTCCGTCCTGATAGACGAATCAATCTACCCAGTTGTTTCGCATGTGTTGCTTGTCATTTCAACGAATTGACAACTTTTGTGAACTTCTGCACTTCTTCTCCAGGCTATTTATGTTTTCCTTTCTTAAAAAATGTCTTTTTACTTCCTTTTTAATTTATTGAATATACAAGTGTACAGTCGACTTTCAGGAAAGGGGCTGCGGCTATTCAAAGGCTGCCTGGGATAATACAGAAATAGGGAAGACGGGTAGCAGTAGAGCGGTTCGAACCCGGGACTTCCAGGTTTCGATTATGTGTACTGAATGACTATGGCTAGTTTGGAACTGAGTTTTGTATAGTGCTGAACCTTATTCCATGCAATTTACTCACCTATTATACTCAGGCTGCTTGCGCAATAAAAACTTACCTTTTAAAGGTCTGTCTGTCTTTTATTTTCCCACCTTTTCTGAAACCATGTGCTTCAGTTTGCTTCCCTCGGGCTAATCTGACATCACATAGGTATACGACTCAATTGCCGAAGAATTCAGCTCTACACGACATTCGCCCTGGCCTGGAGTTGTTGAATTTCTCCAAACATTTTCATCGGGTGCATTTGGTGCAGACATTGGCTGTGGGAATGGGAAATATTTACTGGCTGCGATGGAACGTCTCTCCGCACCATCAACTAATCAAACTAACGTTGTGCGATTAGCTCCAATTTTGGCGCTCGACCGAAGTGTTCGCCTTTCCCAGATTGTTCGTGAGCGGGGTGAGAATGATTGTACTTTCTCTTTTGGTAATACGTTTACCGGTTAGTTATACTCCCATAATAATTATCGTTACTGAAAAGATTGTATAGGGCTAAAAAATAGTGCCATTGCTATATATGATAGGCAAACAGTTGTTAGTTGTTTGTGTCTGTAAAGTCTTCCTTTGAATCGCTTTTTAACCTCCATACCAAGATCTGTATTTAGCAAAACCTTTTATGAAATAATAATCAAGGCTATGCTCCGTCCATCAAAGCCATACCAATTGTCGATAGCGTGGCACAATCCTTTCGCTAATCACGCTTGTTGCATCGTAATTATCCCCGGTATGTATGCAAACTGTTCGCTCGTACGTACCCGTTTTCGGTTTACAGCAAGAGTCCTCTCTGAATTTACGCTTATCAAAAGTTAGTATAGGAGTAACGGTTTTCCGACGCACCGAATTTCCAATCGCATCTCCATTGTCACATTCTGCGACGTTGACTGATAGTCAACCTTTATGGATCACCATTACACCGTTCTGGTTGCGCTTAAGTGGCACGTCCTTCGACCATCCCCTTCATCTCATCGTCTCCCCTGGTAGCCTTCGGAAGAACCACTTCCATCGTCCTTAAACTTGATTGTCGGTGATCGTCTGTTAAACCGATGTTGTTACATAATAATAATAATAATAATAATAATAATAATAATAATAATAATAATAAATATTATTATCATTATTTCGGATGATCAGTGTTTCAAACAGATGATTATTCACTAATTATGATATCCTTTTGTAACGAACAGTCGCCTTATTACCATTTGCATCTCGGCATGATAGGTTTCGACGTGGTTGTTGGTGATATCCTTCGTCTTCCCTACCTGGCCGCTCGATTGGATTTCTTTCTTTGCATCGCAGTCATCCATCACCTGTCCACTGCTGAGCGGCGGTTGAATGCGATCCGCGAATTGGCCCGGCTACTTCGTCCCGGTGGCAAAGGCCTCATTCAGGTTGGTTAATTGCCAGTTCTTGTCCAGATTCTCGCGAGCTTCTGACCGGTAGATTAGGATCAATGAAATGCACTGCTAGGTTGGTGAATGTCTCACCCTGCAATATCTCAGCTCAAAGGACAGTTTATTGATATATTTTCGTATGGTGATCGGCGATTATTGTCTTTAGTGTCTCCTGTGTTTATTAGTGTTCTGGTTGGCGTTGGCGGGGGGGGGGAGGGGCAATGTTTGTAATGATAATAATCTCCCACTTCTTTTCATTCCACATAGCATTGTGTGACCAATTTTGCAGGAAAGGGAGAGCGGTCAATCGAAGGGTTGTTATTCGATACAAAAGTGGGTAAAGAAAAGAGATAATAGTGAAATTCTCGCACAGGACTATCATTCGAAAATATTTAGAGGTGTTTACATGCAAAACGCACTGGTCGGGAAATTTTCGCATTTGTGGCAAACAATATGAAGCAAATTAGAGGTAAATCAGGGAAAAATGTATATTGGCCGTCAAGAAAAGATAGTAATCAAACGAACAAGCCTAATCTTGCCAACTGAATATAATATAATAGTGTAATATAATACAATTATACAATTAAAGTAAGGTCTACATACGGTTCAAAGTTAGCATGCGATTCGTTGATTGTAATGGTTTGTGATGTGTTTGAGAAAGGATGAGAAGGGAGCATAGATTAGAACTATGGTTCAGAAAATACCCAGGCCGTGGACGTGTCACCAAACATGTGTGTCACGCAAAAAGTTATTTCCATCCTTGGAGCTAGTTTCAAGTTGGGGTCAGGTCACCGGGTTGATTGTACTAAGTGCAGTAGTCTGAAACCAAACTGCGTGGCGTGGCAGTTGCGTGATCTACGTAGAACGTTCTGTTTGAGATGAACTCTATAACGATAGGGCAATTTTAAGCCCTCTTTTTTATTCTACAACAATTGTTTAGTCAATCCTGAAAAGGCCACTAGAAAATCAAATGGCATGTGGAAAAATTGCGGTGTTGAGGTTTAAACTTGAAGCGTAAGTCAATGTGAGGATCACATAACACTGGAAGATCACCGCTTTCGTGTAGCTCTTTGTATTTCCAACTTCTCAGTCTACATTGTGCCAACAATTCTTGCACGCGGTTACAATCCAATTTTCGTTCCCTGATGATACTTCCATATGGCTCTCCGTCTCCAGGTCTGGGCTAAAGAACAACGGGATCCCACTAACGCAGAACCTGCACCGTATCTACGCAAGAACAAACAGCGAGTCGCGGTTGGTGATCAACCGCAAATAACTGCCGAACCGGTTCAGAACGTGTGTTTACCCGTGCATGTCTCGGGCACGGAGTTTGCTTCTTCTGACATGCTTGTGCCTTGGAAACGAAAAACAACCAAAACAACCCCAGGTACGTTAATTTTATACACCCAGGTTCAATCAGTGATCAACCCTGAATTGATGAACGAAACCCTCGATAACCACTGGATCCGATAATGTGACGAATAGCATTTACGAGTTTATCTTAAGGTTCAAACGGAATGGAACCAGGCCAGAACATGCAACACCAGATTGTTTTTAGGGTTTGTTAGGAAGCTGCTTAACTGTGGCCCAGAGACACGTGTTTCTGAATCACTGTCAGGATGAATCAAAATTGTCATGCGATTAGCCGGCTGGAATAGCGTGCTAATCGAGCCCACAAATCTACCATCGTTTCCGCACTGTGTTTTCCTGATCGATGCACCCTTCTGCACTGTAAGAACGCAGAACGCATGTGAGTTGTAATTTGTCACAGGAAACTAGGACAAATCTATGATATGGAAGAATCAGTAGTGAACCAGTAACTTTCACTGTATCAGAATGGTGATGAAGCATAAGAGTTGGGTCAGGAGCATGGAAGTCGTATACAGTGAAGTGACATGCAAACGCACAGACTTGCGAACACAAAACCCGGTGTTCCTCTTCTTTTTGTGGGGTGGGCGGGAGGTGAAACGGAAGTAACCGAACGATCACGTAACCGAACAACCCGTGCTTGTCTGTAGCAAAGACCACGGAGCGGTGGTGGTCATGTGGTTAATGTCATCTAAATGCGGACCCGGAAGTCCCGGGTTCGAACCACTCCACCAGTGCCCATCTTCCCCATGTCTATATTTTCCCGAACGGTCTTTGTACGGCCGCTGCCCCCTTCCTGAAAGTTTATTGTATATTTGCATATTCAATAATTAAAAA